AGCACTTGGGAGGCAGAGGCAGGTGGATCTCTATGAGTTTGAGGCCAGCTTGGTCTACACAGTGAGTTCTCCAGGACAGCCTACAAAAGAATACAGAGAAACCCTCTCTTGAAAAACCTAAATACATAAATAAATAAAAACGACCCCGGTTCCATGATAGTCTCCAAAGCCACAGAGACACCAACTCCAAAAAACCAACCAAACAAAAAAAATGAGCCCAACCCACTTACACTGTCTTCCCTGAGGCTCCCCTGGGGCAGACAGAACTTTTCCTGCCACCCGCTTCTCCTCCGTCCTCTCTCTGTCTCTACCTCTATTCTCTTTCCTTCCCCCTTTGTAAGAAAACTTTTCACTTAAGCGCCATCTTCCTGGCGTGTTTGTCCTGGTCCTCAAGCTTTATCCTAAGAGACTGGACCTGAACTTCAGCTAAGGTACATGACCCAGTTGAGCAGACTGGGGGAAATAGGCTTAGGGACATATTTAGGAATTAGAGTATGAACTTTGTGTGATGACAGCCAGCATAATAAAATATAACTTTTGTTATACTAACTCTGAGTAGCTATTTTCTTTTTTTTTCTTTTTTTTTTTTTTTTTTTTTTTTTTTTGGTTTTTCGAGACAGGGTTTCTCTGTTGCTTTGGAGGCTGTCCTGGAACTCACTTTGTAGACCAGGCTGGCTTCGAACTCACAGAGATCCGCCTGCCTCTGCCTCCCAAGTGCTGGGATTAAAGGCGTGTGCCACCAACGCCCGGCTAAGGCCATAGATTTTTAAAGAAACATTGTATGACATGCATAAAATGCCTAAACCAACTTGTATTGTTCCATTTCCCTTATAAGTCACAGCACCTTTGAAAACAAACTTATCCTCATTTTTATGTACACGTTTGTGTGGTTTATAGAATGTCTTCCATGTGGAGGTGGCACACGGAAGAGAGTATCAGATCCCCTGGACCTGGAGTAGCAGGTGGTTGTGAGTTCACACACACTCAGCCGGTCAACCCTAAGAATACGTGCTGAGAGACCTACCAAGCCCCAGAGTACTTTTAATCTAATCTAAAAGTCTCTCACAGATTAATGAGAACAAAACCTTAGAAAATACAGTAAATAAATAATCCTTGGAAAAATGATGCATCAGTGTTAAGATGTTGTATATAGTCAGTTTACACCACTAATTGAATGCAATCCAAAGACAATGCCCCAAAATTTATAATTGGAAAGCTGATTTCAAAGCCACCTGAAAAGTTGAAACTCTTCAGAATGCTCAATGGGATTATCAAAGTCACTTCTACATTTACCACAAAAGCTACAATAATCATGAATGAGCACAACATCTGTGAAAGAATAAAGGAGATACAGAGAAAAGGACAAGAAGAAAAGCTGGCAAATATAGTCAACTTTTAATAAACAGCAAAGGAAACTCAGCAGGAAAAGTGTGATCTTGACCAACACAGCTAGTTACCTCTGATTCTACACGAGTAGAAATTGAATAAATACAGACTTCACAACTCCCACAAAATTAACTCAAAGTGACCCTCAAACTGTTACGCTTCTGACCCTCCAGCTTCTGATATTCCTTCCAGAGAGGCTTCATGCTCTAGGGCTCTGCAAATGGAGGAGACGCTATGGCTCTATGGACCCTCATGCTCCTGCGGTTTCTGGGAAACCGAACCCCAATGTTGTCAATCAAACTGCAACGGAGGAATAATTTAATGTCTGCTTCCTGCCTTCTGCACAACACCATGCAAACCTGAGATAGCTCTGTCCCCAGGAGCTGGACTTCACTCATCACACCATGGTGGCTGGCAGTAGGAGACAGTGAAAAACATTCTAATCATGGATTGTTGAAGGGTGATTCCCAGCACCTCCTGAATATCAGTTTCTAAACTACCTGTAACATTTATAAGACAACCCTGCAAGCTGAATGCAACATTCAGAACTTCTAGAAACCAGGCCTCCAGTTTTCCAACTTGTGATATCAATGCCTGAGTGTGCCCATGGGACAGTGACATTATTACAAGTTCATAGCCTCCCAACCAGAGGGGCAGAACCTCAAACTCCTCAGAGAATCCACACTCAGTGAGGCAGAGAGGCCAAGGACCACTGCCCAGGTCAACACAGGTACCAAGGGAACCAGTCTGGGCTCATAGTACCGCAAGTCCCCACAAGTCCCAGCATCTCAGACTCTGACAGCTCAGCCAACCAGCTCTTCCTGGACGAAGGACAGTTAGTTGTCTCCACACTCACCATGGCGTGACTTGCGACCTTTACAACTCCCCACAACAGAGCAGGAGGAGAATCATGGAAAGAACCTGTAAGCTACTCCCACTGGTACTCCTGAAAGCTAAGCTTTCCTTCCCAGAGTCCTTCACTAGCTAGTACCATCCAACAGGGCCTCAGAACGTTAGCAGTTGAGCTACTGGGTGAGGTGACTTCCAATGACGCAGGCAGCACAGGCCTCCCAGCTCTCCCCTTCCACCCTAGAGTCTGACAGGGCCCGAGTCTGGGGAATTGTAGTCTACTAGAACCTTCCATTCTCTCAGAGTAATTCCTGTTCCTCTTATAAGGTACAGGGTCTGTTGTGTGCACATTCCATTATACAGTCAATGTCCCATGAAGTCAAACACAGGTCACTTTCAAACAGTCCCTGTTGTAAAAGCAAAAGGAGGGCATGGATTAGAAGACAATGAAGGGTGTGTGAGGGCTTGGAGGCAGGAAAGAGAGAGTGGAAATGATGTAATTATAATCCCCCAAAATTACATTCAAAAGTTGAATCAGACTTTATGGCCATATGCTCCAGAGACGGGGGATCTGTATTAGAGAACACCAGGTAGGACATATCCCCCAGCGTGTACATTTTAAATGTGGAAAACATAGTGAAGCTAGGCAAGGCCACCCCACTTTATTCAAGTTCTAATGTGGTTGAGGGAGTCTAACTACAGTAATTTGATTATGTGAAACCCCAGTACTTTCTCTGGATTCCTGCTTGCCTGGTCTGTGAACCTGAGAAATGTCAGCACATTTCTCAATCACCTAGCATTGGTCTCCTGGGGAGTCCATGCTAAGGTTAAGTAACTACTGTCACAGCAGGAGTCTCCCCTCCTTCTTCCTGCCCATCCCTTCTGTGCTCTGTCCACACCAGCTTTACAGTTGGTCACTGAACTCAGTTCTTACACAGGTCCCCTTCATGTGTAAAAAATCTACAAAGGTTGGAGGACACTCAATCCAGGGTCTATTTCTCCTTCCCATAGACCAGTCAAGACCCAGCCTGGAAGGAGTTGTAGGACGGTCTTCCCAGCCCTGGACAGCAGAAGCAGGATTTGGTGTTCATAGCAATTCTCAATTATATAGTGAGAGGTAAGCCTCAGCTACAGGATACATCGGATTAAAAAAGTGATTTCTAACCTTCAGAAGGCTGTGACCTTGCAAAACAGTTCCTGTTTAGCTATATGCTCCCTAAACTGTATACCCACCCATTCACATGGAAGGAATTAACACACACACACTGGGAAATTACACAAGAAGTCACTCGCCGTGCCCCATCGGGTCCTTCTTTATGATGGGGACCCCTGCAGCTCAGTGCCTTAAACTTCAGCCTGTGGCCTAGCTACTGTCTAGTCTGTCTCCCTGCAGTGCACACAGTACACTGTTCCTCCTCTTCTGGTCTGAAGGGAGAAGCCATGCTCCACACACAAATCCTTCTCCTATTACTGGATACACAGAACACTATGTGACTCAAACTGGTCATTTAAGAACTCTGTTGTTCTGTAGGATGTGCTCCAAGAAGTTAGGGTGCTTAAGAGGATAGCAAGGTTTCTGCGGCTACTGAAACAGTTCAAGAACACCTAAGTCTACACGGGAGACCTGGATTCAAAATCACTTTTCAAGAAGGCTGGAGATGTAGCTGTTCTAGAATTAAGATACCTTAATAGCACACCAAGACTTAATGTTGGTTGTGACCCTGTAATGGCCCGGAGCATCTTGTTAGAGGTCTGGTCTATGATGGGTGGAGGCCTTTTGGGTGGTTGTAAAGCAACATTGTCTTCTTTTTTTTTTTTTTTTTTTTTTTTTTTTTGGTTTTTCGAGACAGGGTTTCTCTGTGGCTTTGGAGGCTGTCCTGGAACTCACTCTGTAGACCAGGCTGGCCTCGAACTCACAGAGATCCGCCTGCCTCTGCCTCCCGAGTGCTGGGATTAAAGGCGTGCGCCACCAACGCCAGGCTGACAGTTGGTGGCGGATCTCTTGAGTTTGAAGCCAGCTTGCTCTACAGAGCGAATTCCAGGACAGGCTGCAAAGCAATAGAGACAAACCCAGTCTTGACAAACCACAAAAAAACAAACAAAGAAAAAAACAAAAAGCAAAAAAAGTATTGGTAAATCAGAAGGGCAGTGGTGGCTCCTGCCTATAATCCCAGCACTAGGGATTAGCCTGCTCTACAAATCAGTCCAGGACTGCATCTAAACCAAGAGAAACTTGCCACAACCAAAAAAAAAAAAAAAAAAAAAAAAAAAGACAAACAAAAGAAAAGAGTTCATAAACCCTTACTCCATCAGTTCTGCTCGTCTACAGCACAGTTTAGCAGTGGGGTGTTACCCTACCCACCAGATACGTTTACAGGACACACACAATTAACTCCAGACGGATCCTAAACCTAAATGTTAAAAGTGCTGAACTTCGGTAAGAATCTAGCCAGACCAGGGCTCTCCGAGTTTGGCAAGTCTGCCCTCCATAGTGGCGACACAGACTCCATAGGAGCCGGATTTCGCAGTGGCGTCCACAACAAGGAGATCTTCTCTAAGAGCAGTTGCTCCAGGTCCGCAGCCATGGAGAGAAGTCATTCAGAGGCTGCCGCCCGGACCAGGAGGTTGCAAGGGCGACCCGGGGGACCACGTGGGACTCCGATCTGCCGGCTGGCTCCTGCCCAGGGGGAGGAGGACCCACAACACCGCTGCCCCAGGCTCAGCCAGACTCCCTCCCAGTCTGCGGACAGCGGCCTCTTACTCACCATGGTGCGGCTGCTGATAGAGACCCTGCTCTCCTCTCAGCGGAAACCACTGACGCAGCTCAGTAGACAGCTTCCTTCTTGCTCAGCAGAGGCGGAGAACAAGAAACCTGGTGCCGGGATATTCCCTCCTCTCCTACTTCCTGGAACACTGGAGGTTCTGATTGGCTAGTGAGGCCTGAGAACAGGACCGGGTGAGCAAAAGGGACACAGCAGAATGGTTCCCAGCCTTGCCTTCCATCTGAAGGACAGATCTGTTCCAGATTGTCTGGAGATCTGTGCCAAATGCATAGCAAGTCTCTTGTTAGTGTAAACCAATGGATTCAGTTTTAAAAGGAAGTCTACAAATCATAAGATGGCGAATGACACATATTGCACTAGAAAACACAGGGTATTTCAAGAACACTGTTAGTATTTGGGCATCAATACTGGCCTGTCCTTGGGGTTCTGGCAGGATGCGCATGAGCCACCAACGCCCGGCCTAGATAAGTAGTATGCTAGGTCTGTTAGAGATTAAGGCACTAGACCTCAATATAAATCTAATCACACTGAAACTCTTAGAAAAGAAAGTGGGAGATTCTCTTCAACGAACTGGTACAGAAGAAGGCTTCCTGAACATAACACCAGTAGCACAGACACTGAGATCGATAATTAATAAATTGGATCTCCTGAAACTGAGAAGCTTCTGTAAGGCAAAGGAAACAGTCAACAAGACAAAAAGGCAGTCCACAGAATGGGAAGATATTCACTAACCCCATATATGACAGAGGGCTGATCTCCAAAATTTACAAAGAACTCAAGAAGCAAGTCTCCAAAACACCAAAGGATCCAGTTAAAAAGTGGGCTACAGGACTACATAGAGAATTCTCAATAGTGGAGTCTAAAATGGCTGACAGACACTTAGAAAATGCTCAGCATCCTTAGCTATCAGGGAAATGCAAATCAAAACAACTCTGAGATATCATCTCACTCCTGTCAGAATGGCTAAAATCAAAAACACCAATGACAATTTATGCTGGAGAGGATGTGGAGAAAGGGGGACACTCCTCCATTGCTGGTGGGAGTGCCCATTCGTACACCTACTTTGGAAATCAGTATGGAGATTCCTCAGGAAAATGGGAATCAGTCTACCACAAGACCTAGCAATTCCACTCTTTGGCATATATCCAAAAGATGCACATTCATACAACAAGGATATCTGTTCCACTATGTTCATAAAATATTTTTTTGTAATAGCCAGAACCTGGAAGCAACCTAGAGTACTACTCAGCAGAAAAAACAATGGAATCTTGAAATTCGAAGGCAAATGGATAGCACTAGAAGAAACCATCCTGAGTGAGGTAACCCACTCACAAAAAGGCAAACATGGTATGTACTCACTCATATATGGATTTTAGACACGGATCAGTATAGTTCCAGTCTGCAGTTCACTGACAGAGAGTCTGGGAAACAGGAAAGAACCTAAGAGAGATATGCATGGTACCCCAGAGAAGAGGAATGAGTCAAGATCTCCTGAACGGATTGGGAACATGGTGGGAGGAGGGGGGGGAGTCGGAGCTGGGGAGAAGAGAGGGGGATAAAAGGAGGAGAGAGTAGGTCATGGGGGAACAGGAAGGTTGAGTGGGGGGGTAGAATAGGGGGAGAACAGGATGAGAAATACCATAATAGAGGGAATTATAGGTGTGAAGAGAGATCTGGTACCAGTGAGATCTCTAGCGATCTAAAAGGATGACACCAACTGGCAAGCTAAACAATAATGGAGAGACTACCATAAATGCCCATTCCTGATAATGAACTTGATGCCATCCTGGAGCCTTCATGCAGTGACTGATGGAAGCAGAGGCAAACACCCACAGTTAAACACTGAACTGAACTCATGGGACCCAGTGACAGAGAGGAGCGATGAGCAAATGGGCTGGCAAAACCAGCAGAGACAGCTGATCTGAACAAGGGGGAGCTCTTGGACCCCAGACCCATAGCTGGGAGGCCAGCCTGGGGCTGATCCAGACCCCCTGAGTGTGAGAGTCAGTGAGGAGGCCTGGGCAACATATGGGGCCCTGGGCAGTAGATCAGTATTTATCCCTGGCATACAAATGGATTTCATGTGTCCGTAAAACAAAGAGGGGATGCTCTCTCAGCCTGGACTCTTAGGGGAGTGCCTGGACCCTGTCCTGAGCGAAATGACAGACTCTGGATATCCCCTATGTGGAAGGAAGTGGGGATAGGGTGGGAGGCTGGGGCGGATGGTGGCAGGTGTGGGGAGGGAGAAGGAACTGGGATTGACATGTGAAGCAGGCTATTTAAGATTAGAGTAATAAAAAGCTGGGCGTTAGTGGCACACACCTTTAATCCCAGCACTCAGCAGAGGTTGGCGGATCCCTGTGAGTTCCAGGCATAGCCAGGTCTACATAGCAAGTTCAAGGACAGCCTCCAAAACAACACAGAGAAACCCTGTCTCGAAAACCAAAAAATAAAATAAAATAAAGTTAAGAAGAAAAACAAACCCAACCCACCAAAAGCATTATATGAAGACTGCCTTGTGTTTTCTCTAGGGTATAGTTTAACAGATTGTACCTAGGAAATAGTAATTATTACATTATCTCATATATGATTTCTAGTCACTGCTCTGACATTTAATTGTTGTTGCTCAGCACTATCTTAAGACAAACAATTGGCACCTCCCTCGGATCAGCTGTGCCGCTTTGAAAGGATGGCCACCCCCAGCTTTGCTTACTGTTGATAGTCCATTGTAGAAGGAGGTATCCTCTCCTGCTGAGGATACAGTGTCTTTCCCAGGTAACTGCCTGCAATTCAGCCCTAATGACATGTGACCTTGTGGTTTGGGGTAGGGGCTGGAGTACATATCCTGGGAAAGACTGGGGAGGAAGTGGATTATGCATATGCACCTACGAGAAGCCATTTTTGAAATGGGAATTTACCTGGAGCGCTCCCAGGCTTACCGCCTATGCACCCTGAGAAACATAATGTAAAAGAGAATCCATGGACAGTGGAAGAGAAGACAGAGGCTGAGCTCCACATACACAGCTGTGGGAGAGCCACTGCACACAGTAGCTGGAGACAGTCCTGCATGGCTGCTTTTGAGCATCTGTCTTAGTTAGAGTTTCTATTATTTCTGTCAGCAGGCAGAAGACAGTGACTGTGACACTCATCCTCCAGTAAGGCCACACCTACTCCAAGAAAGCTCCACCTCCTAATAGTTCCACTCCCTATGGGACTATGGGGCTAGTTTTACTCAAACCACCAGTTTGTAATCTTCTGTTTCTCCTCAACCATGATCAGTAAAGAAGCTCAAGTCACTCATTGGTTCTCCAGGGTGGGCTTTGGTGAAACTGTAGTTTGCGATTTCATGGGGATTTACATCGGCTAGGTTAGACATTGCTTTGTCCCCCTCCACTGGGGAGAAACTTCTCACAACAGATCACAAATTTATTTGTTTATGTTCCTATGTCTTGTGATATTAGAAAAAGGAAGCAGTACACAAAAAAAACTTGACAGAAGAATATAAATGTGAGCCAGAGCTGGGCGTTGGTGGCACACGCCTTTAATCCCAGCACTCGGGAGGCAGAGGCAGGCGGATCTCTGTGAGCTCAAGGCCAGCCTGTTCTACAGAGCGAGTTCCAGGACAGCCTCCAAAACAATACAGAGAAACCCTGTCAGGAAAAACAAAAACAAAACAAACAAACAGACAAAAAGTATATAAATGTGGAAATTACCTTAGTAGAGAAGGATGTAGGTGAAGATGATAATGACTGAGTTGCTCCAGAATAAATAAGACTGGCAAAATTTGCAAGTTATGGAGGCCTGAGTAAGTTGTTTAAGGCACAAAAAAGATGAGATATTGAGATCATATATTGTATTAAAATTGGCAAGGTAGATACAAACTATTTCAAGAACTGTCTAAATTGCTTGTCAAACAAAAGTTTGAGTTATATCTAGCTATTGAAATATTATATAGTAGTTATTGATATCAAACTGGTGTAAAACTTGTCTTCTGGATCTTTAATAATCATTCTTGGAGGATATTCTAATGTGGCTAGAAGGACCAAAAGGGAGAATATTTCTCCCCTTTCTTTATGATTCAGTGGGTCCCCGGGAGACTAAGACCATTGATCACTGGTTGTCTTGTTCATGGAGATCATGGGGTCTCAAGTCAATGAATTTGTAACATCGTCCAGTCTACACAAAGGAGAGTCAGTGTGGAATAGATTCCTTCAAGGCTTCAAAGAAAACTCACTACGTAATGCCGGGCATTGGTGGCACACACCTTTAATCCCAGCACTCGGGAGGCAGAGGCAGGCAGATCTCTGTGAGTTCGAGACCAGCCTGGTCTACAAGAGTGAGTTCCAGGACAGCTTCCAAAGCCATAGAGAAACCCTGTCTTGAAAACCAAAAAACAAAACAAAATAAAATGCAAACTGCACTGCATAAAGCAAAGTCTTTGACTTATCCTCACATTGATGGACAACTGATAACAGAAAGGCTAGAAGATTCCAGGTTTCACTCAAGTCAAGTAACCCCCAAGGACTACATGTTCAACTGGCCTTGAGAGCACAGAAAGAAAAATGAATGTTGTTCACCTGCCTGGTCTTCAGCACTCAGCAGGAAAGTTTAACCAAAGACGAAGGGAATTGGTAGCAACCCAAGGGATTGTACTTCACAAACATTAGACCTAAGTCTACAAGAGCTGTTATTCAGACAGCCAATCTCACTGTCATCAATCCCAACACCCTCCGAACATTCTCTGATACAGGCCACGCCTGCAGCAGGCGTGGCAGAAATGTTTACTCAGACGTAACTGTTCAGACTGAGCACCTGCCCACAGCCAAGGAAGACAGGACAATGATTGTCTTAACCACTAAATTAAATGATGCTAAATGCCTCTTCTCTCCCTATCCAGAAGCCACATGGGAAGGGCAGCATGCCAACTTCTGACTGATGAAAGAGCTATGAAAGGGAATGAAAGCTAATTGTGTTTTTATCACTCTGGAGCCAAACCATACACATCTAAGGAAAACATCTAATAGGAGGTATTGTGAGGCCATCAAGAATGTCTTAGGAACTTTGGACAGTTCAGTCATTTCCAGACACCAGTATAGGAAATCCTTTCCTGTCTGTACCTGAG